AACCTATGTGCATACTTGCGCCAGCCCCTAGGCGCCGATGACGGCGATGGTGGCGGTGGTCCCGAGTAGTCTACATATGAGATATTATGTATCAGCATACACGCATCGCAGCCCTACATTGCACCATGGCGCCGTCATTAATTGTCCTAGCACCACGCATATTCCTATATCAGTGACGTACACCGCAGTGGCCCTGGCCGCATGCGCTGCGCTGCTCGGATCCCGATGGTAGACAACGTAGTAAGATGCATAGTCGATAAAAACGATTTTGAAAAGCTGCTCTGAACCTCCCCAGGAACAACACGCTTGGCTGATTCTGCAACCGGTGCTTTATGCCCAGGTTATGGCAAGTATGCCCGATAAATGCTGTGCATAAACCGCCAGGTTGATTTTTGCATATATTGAATGACGTAGGCCATCCAGCTGCCACCTGGGCAATCGCATGCGTCGAATTCACAAGAGAATTACATGCTGGGTGTCAGCTGTGTGACATATTTGCACGTCATAGCGCTCGTACGATTTATTCAGGCCCCACATTGAGAAACCGACACATACCTGACGTGTACATCTGCCGCGAGATCATGGGCAGATACTGGTCTGCATTGCTGAGCGAGATGGCCACATTGAGCCGGTGATAGAATGACCCCAGTAGCGATTCTTTAAGCTGGCACCGACTATCCTTGTGCTGGCTGCATTCTGTCAGACTCCATAACGCTACATACGACACGCACCATAGGACAAAGGCAGGCACAAATACAAAACCAATGTTGGTCCAAACCAAAAGGCTACCCACCTGGGTGCTGTGTGGATAGGAGTCGCCGACAGACACCCCATCAACAACATACCCAGTGTATTGGGTCCTGGACAGCGCGGCATAGCCGTAATTTATCAGGCTGACTTGGTGGACCCACCCAAGCCAGACAGTCATACTCTCTGTGTTGACAAGCAGCCTGCCAAACAGCAGAAACGACAACAGCACCACAGGCAGCACAGCTAAAATTGTCGCCAACCTGCCAAGCACTGCACCAATTGTGATTCCAAAAGCGAACCCGCACACGCTTGTGGCCGCACATGCTGCCAAGTATATGAAGTCCTTTCCAGCCATTGGCGTACATCAGACTAGCCAGCGTGTACACGCCGAAAACGCGATCGGCGAGATCTCCTGTCAACCACGGCATAAAACTTTATGTTCATCCCCCAGCCCTTTGTCTTAATAAAATTTCTACATATAAATACATTCTTTGACACTATGGACATCATTTGATATATATATATATATATATGTATATATATCACTGTTTGCAAAGCCGTGGGAAGAGGTCCTGGCATTTAAAGATTGTATTTTAGTATTCACTACACGAAAATACGATCCTGCACCATATATTATCAGAGATTGTCTTTGCATACCTCTTTGCATTCATTAGCGTCGCCGTTTCGATCGCTTTATATTTCGTACTTTACACTCTTGTCCTTTTACAAATGAATCCAGATCAATTGACATAAAAAGTTAAAGCAATATCGCCGAATATGTCTGAAAATGAGTGCAAAAAGAGAGCGGTGAAAATTCAAGCAGCATCCGGCGTGCTGAAGCGGGGATCGGGTGGGCCTAACAAGTCGGCCTCAACCTGCCGGCGGGTATTCCTATTGAATGCACCACGGCCATGCATGGTCAGGCGCCAAAGGGCCAAGAACGACGCACACCACAAGACGAATGCGAGGATAAACACAAACAAAATGTTGACACCAATCGAGAACCCTCCGAGCTGGAGGTTGTCCAAATACATATCGCCCACAGCCATGCCGTCTATAACATAGCCAGCATACTGGTTTTGTGACAGAGCCGCATACCCGTACTTGATCGGACTCAGCCATTGGATCCAGCGCAGCCAGACAGTCGAGCTGCCAGTGTTGACAAATAGACCGCCAAACAGAAGGAGCGGGATGATAGCGGCAGGCAGGATGGCCAGGATGACCGACAGACTGCTGAAGGCAGCGCCCAAGGTAATGCCAAAGGCGAAGCCGCAGACGCTCAGTGCAATACATGTAACCATGTAAATGAAAAACTTTGCCGCGGTCCGCTGGAACCCGATTAACCAGTACGCGCAGACAGAGTAGAGCGCGGGCGAGCACAGCTGGATGGGAAGCTCGACAATGTTCTTGGCCAGGAAATACGCAGTGAGTCCGTAATAACCAGCCTGCCACTCGCGCACAAACACAGGCCGCTCTGACGCAAAGGCATTGACAACGGCCAGCAGTGTCAGCATGTACTGTGCAGCACACGACAAAAACAGGGCGCCTGAAAAGTTCTGCGTCTGTATAGCTGCGGACCGCTTATTGGTATTCAAGAACAGGAAACCGAAGAGCAGGCCCAGAACGGCAGACTGCACCAGGCGGATGTAGAGTACCAGGGGGTTGCGCAGCGCATTGCGTGCTGAGCGGCCGACCAGGTAATGCAGCTGCTTGGACAGCGAGACAGTGCGGCGCAGCTGGGATTTGGTGGGCGGGCGAAGCTCTGGGCGGTCCACCAGACATTTGACTGATACAGCGTCGGGCGAGCCAGTCCAGGCATTGGCCAGGATCTTGGAGCGTGTTGTACTGGTCTCCAGTGGCAATGTGTCGTGCTGCGAAAAGTGCATCGGGAACAGGATAGTGTTGAATAGATGGTCGGCGGGATTCGAGTAGGTCGGGCACGGAAAGCCCAGGTTGTCAAAGTATGGAATAAACGCATGCCGTTCTCCCAGATACACTATGCGGCCCTCGCTCAAGACCATCAGATCATCTACAAGTGCAAATACTTCAGATGACGGCTGGTGCAGAACAGCAACGACAGTTCGGCTATTCATGGCAATGCGCTTCAGCTGGTGGGCGACCAGAAGCGCAGAGTGTGCATCCAGCCCCGAAGTGGGCTCGTCGAGGAACAGGATATGTGTGTCGGTCACGTACTCCATGGCAATGGCAGTGCGCTTGCGTTCGCCACCAGAAATCCCCTTGGTGATTGAGTCGCCGACCACAGTATGCTTGCACCCTTCGAGTTCAAAAGTAGAAATAGCCATATCACACAAGCCTGTGTCTGGCCTGTCATGCTCATGCATAGCGATGGGCAATGGCAGGTGGGAGATGCAAGGACGCAGAATCACAGACATGTCAATAGCCTCTTGGACAGTCTGGGTGGACAGAATCATGTCGTCCTGGTGGACGTAGCCGGCCAACATATGTAGACCCTGGGCAGTGGTCTGGCGGCCATTGACCCAAATGTTTCCGGTTACAGTACCAGTGGTTAGTTGGCCAGCGAGAAGATTCAGCAGAGTAGTTTTACCCGATCCTGAAGGACCCAGGATAGCAGTGAATCTACCGGGTCGGAATGTGCCAGTTAGGTCGTGTAGGATGGTCTTTGGGGTAGTGGGCTGTTTGGTGAATACACGTTTGATTGCGGGGACGCGCCTGGTGTGAGAGACAGTGCGGAGCGCGGGCACGTCGACGGAATATGACAAGTCTTTGAAGGATATCTGAAGCGGAGCAGCCATGAGTAAAATAAAAAGTAAAACAGGCAGCATAGAAAAGAAACGAAGGCGGAGCACGAGACATCTATGGCATGCATATAAATATGCCTGGTGGCATCGACGTCAGGCGCGCTGGGGTGATGAGTTGGAAAGATATATGGATCAACTGATCAAGAAACGCCGCAGCTTGTTTGCTTTTTCTTTCTCTGTCAATTACAGTTACGAGGTGGGAACAGTGGTACGGATACCGATCCGCTTTTTCCTCCATGTATTTTATTCACAAACCATTTATCAGGACCATTTGAGAAATGAGCAAGCGCAGACACTCGGACTCGGCATCCAGCGCAGCATACGAGGACAGCGACGGAGAGAGTAAGCAGGATCAAGTGACCGAGACATCCTCCAACGAAAGCGAGTTCCAAAAGCCGCCCTTGACGCGAAGACGGCGCACATTGCGCGTAGCAGACTCGGCCGAAGACGAGCTCTCGGGGACGTTTCTGCACCGGCGGCCCATGCGGATGTCTGGGCAAGGCAAACGCACAGTGCAGGGTATCTCCAGCGACGACTCAGACCACGAAAGCAACAAAAAGAGCGGACCGGCACCGGTGGTGTTGGTGACAGGACCCAATACCACACCAGTGAAGAACCGGCTGCGGAAGCGGCGGGCAGTGAACTACTCGCTGTCGCTTAAAAGCCAGAGCGATGATGAGCGGAAGTGGAAACGGCGGCGGCGCGGCAGGCAGGGAACATATAATCTGCGCCAGCGCAGCAAAGTGTCGTACCAGATGGAGCCGGTGGCAGAGAAGCCGCCGCAGCAATACGAGGAATTTATGCGCAATATGCGCGACTTGCGGCGGGCGGCCGAGGAGAAGGATGCACTGAGCGATATCGAAGAGTCGGAGAGCAGCAAAGGCAACGACGGCGGGGATCAGATCTTACCGATGAACCTTGCGGAATTGGGCGTCGAGCGCTGCCGCAAAGCCGGATATCTGGGAGCCGTTGCACCCCGACAGCAGATGCTACGTCGTTTGAGGACGTAGGCGGTCTAGAAGAGCACGTGCGTGGGCTGAAAGAAATGGTGATGCTGCCGCTAGTCTACCCAGACCTGTGCGAGACACTGGGGATCCGGGCGCCGCGCGGCGTGCTGTTTCACGGACCGCCGGGGACAGGTAAGACGCTGCTGGCGCGGGCGCTGGCGTCGGGCAAGGCGGGCGGCCCGCCGATTGCCTTTTTCATGCGACGTGGCGGCGATGTACTGTCCAAATGGGTGGGCGAGGGAGAGCGCACTTTGCGCAAGCTGTTTGCGCAGGCGCGCGCATTCCAGCCGTCAATTATATTCTTTGACGAGCTGGACGGGCTGGCGCCGGTGCGCAGTGCGCGGCAGGACCAAGCGCACGCATCTATAGTAACCACGTTGCTGGCGCTAATGGATGGCATTGAGGACCGTGGGCAGGTGGTGGTGATTGGCGCGACCAACCGCCCCGATGCAATCGACCCGGCGCTCCGCCGACCCGGACGGTTTGACAGAGAGATGTTGTTCCGGCTGCCTGGGCTCACGGCTCGGCACCGGATCTTGCAGATACACACACGGAAATGGCCCAGGCAGCTGGCGGAGGACGAGCTGGCGGTGTTGACGGATCTAACGCAAGGCTGGGGTGGCGCCGATATCCAGGCACTGTGTACCGAGGCTGCGCTGCGCGCTCTGCGCAGGCGGTACCTACTCTATACGAATCGGCGCAGCGGCTGCAAATCAGCGCCGATGTGATCAACGTGTCAATGACGGACCTGCGGCTAGCTGCCGCTCAGATTGTCCCGTCGTCGCAGCGCTCGGCAACGTCATCGGCCATGCCGTTGCCGCAGCCGCTGCAGCCGCTGCTGGGGCAGTTGGTGGGCATAGCGGCGCTGAAGCTGTCGACGGCGCTGGCGCTGGGCAGTTCGGCGCCAAATGTCTTCCGCCCACGACTCGCCGTGCATGGCGCAGCGGGCATGGCCTCTGCCAGTGTCGGGGCGGCGGCTGCGTATGCCATGGAAGCCCGAGATGTTCCAGTTTTCCATGTGACGCCTGCTCTCCTCCACGACATTGCGGGGGTCGGCCACCTGTTCCAAGAAGCGCTCAGGCGTCAGCCGAGCGTCCTCCACGTTCCAATGGCTGACGGCTTGGCGCTGACCATGGATGCGGCTGCAATTGCCATGCTGGACCACTGCATCCGCGCCCTGCCTATTGGCGCACGCGTGGCGGTGCTTTGTGGATGTCGAAGCCGATGACTGGCGCAGCGCTCCCGAATTCGTACGGCGGTGGTTCCATGGCATGTCGCAAACGTGCTTCCTTAAAATTTCGGCACCCGAGCGCATCGACCGCACGAACTTTTTCCAGACACTGGCGACTCACACCCCGCAGGCACCAGCACCGGAGCCGACATCCGACCCGAATGAGCTGCCTGCGGATCCAATACCTGCACCAGCGCCGGTTAACATGCGGCTGGTGCAGCGCCAGCTGAAGCGCGCGCTACTCGAGGTGATTCATGCCGTGGCAGAAAACCGCCTCTTGCGCATGTTTGCCGAACCGCCTGATCCGCAGCTTCACGCACGCTTTTACGAGACGACGCAAGACCCGGCCTGCCTCTCGACTGTGAAGCTGCGGGCGTCGGCTTACCAATATAAAACGACCGAGGCGTTCCTGCTGGATATCGCCAAGATCGCCAACGACTGGGTGAAATACGCCGAATTGGTCAAGCGGTATCCGAGGACACTCAGAATCGTGCGCAGTTTTTGCGCGAGCTGACACGCAAACTGGTGAGAAAGCACGTTCCTGAGAATTCTGATCGAACTGGCGCGCGAGGCTAGTCAGCCGCGGCAAGCCGAGCGAAAGCCGCCGATCAGCAACATGATGCGTGCGCAGCGGCCCGCCGTGCGTCGGCCAGTCAGCGTCACGCCGACTTTGGATTCCCGTGGGATCCCTGTGGTTACGCACGGAGTCAGGGTGCCGATCGACACGCTGGTGCCTGAATCGTCCAGGCCACCGCCGGCTGCTCCGTTGAATCGCTTAGAGCAACTGCGCGTGCGCCTGGTCAACGAAATCAACAACTGTGATGCTCGTGGCAGACTACACATGGCCAACGATGCACTGCGTAGATGTCTCAGGATTTGGCGAGAGGAACGCAACATATAAAGTCTCACCAAGGAGGTGAACTTGCATCGCGAGCACAGGACTTTGAGTAGTATTATATTTTCATTATCGTCAGAGCATTGAGCTAGAGCCGCCATGCGTGGACACCAAACTGTACAGCGACGGTTTCAGATCCGCAGAGTCGATCGATGCCGTCACTAATGTCGCTGGCTTGTGCCACGACCTCGTGCGGCGGCCGGCATTCTGTGCATTCTGTGCATTCTGTGCATTCTGTGAACGGCGTGTATTCCGGCAAGTCTTCGCTCTGTCTTCTGACCACCTCCACTTCGACCGTGACCACTCGCCGCTTTAATTGTTCTGCGCTTGCTCTGTGGCTCTTTGTGCTGCGCTCACCGCCCTGCCCATTGCCTGCGAATTAGTCATTTCCGCTGCTTCTTCGCCTGTAAATAGCGATGACCGCTGTGCCCATCTCTGCAGTCCACCGAGCACTGAATTGCCCAATGAGAAAGTACCGCTGGAAGGCGTTGTTGGTGCGCAGTCGGCGTCCGGTCGTTTTTGTATCGCAGCTAGCAATGTCGCTATCCAGAGAGCGTTTAGCCCCGCTGCTACCGCAGTACTGCCAGCACCAAGGTCGACGGTTCTGTGCATTATCATTTCGAGGTAGAACAGCGAAAAGTATATGTTCATCAAAAAAGATGTTTGCGAAAAAAAAAAAAAAAAAGTTGGAAACGAAGATGGTGACGCTTATGCCAAGCTTTCCAGTGGTACCATTCAGGTTACCCTGGCTGATCTGCGAATCACCCAAGGTGTGACGTGATTCCTTTTTAACGAGGCTTCACTTGAGCCGCAGATTCTGATACATCGCACAAACTACCAAGCTGATACTCCATACTTCCGGTCGCGGCTGTGGTTGAAATGACATAAACCACACACACCGAGTGCTCCGTTCTTGTCTCTCTTTCCTTTCGTTGAAAAGTTTTTCTAGCTCCATTTTCTTTAAAAGCAACATGCCCTTCACACAGCTCTTTGAAACATGAAGCACCACTATGAATAATCTTTCGCTGTATACCATCCCAAAACTCGTCTGGTACATGGTCAGGAGAGGCAGGGTGCTCCCAAGACCTTGGACTGCACTCGACGCGCTTACTGTGCTGCGTTTTCTGTATCCTCTGATGGTGCTTGCTGTGAGTAGAGATACGTTATCAGCACAATTATTGAGGGGGGTTTACTAGTATTTATGCCAGCTCACATAGCACAGTGCTTTTTATTAAGGTAGGATATGAACATGCATTTACCGACAGCTTTGCACTTGAGTTTAAACCGCATGGCCACAATTTGCTGCTTGACTGCACTACCGAGAGTATTGCCAACGGAATGGTATACTCAGGAGCTGACCCTCTGCTTGCCCAGTGTAAGGGAAGGCTCAGAGAAGCCCATACAACCACACCTCATACGTCTACTCGCGATTACCACTATCAGCGTAGCCTACCAGGGTTTTTCTGCCTGCAATTGACCCGCAGGGGCAGGCCAACATGAAGCTGATAATTACCCAGTATACTAGTTATATTAACGAACGCTAAGAGAGACGATGCCAAACATCGTTTCAGGCATTTATTCAGGTGACCAAGACCTAGGCTACATAAGCAGGCAGAACTCTATCGCCCTTTTGGCATTTCTGCGCGCAGCGCCATCAATTCAATATTGAGCGTCATTCGAGGCATGCTGTTTCATACATCCATGTCCGACTGACTGACGCCTGATGTCAAGTATATGCACGTTGGAATGGGAATCTATAGCAACAGCGAGATTGCTGGGCTAGCTGTATGCCATGCAGACTATCTGAAGACGCTATCAATAAATACCATGAGCTTTGGATCATTCCAAGCTATTCAATAGGCCTGCAGACAGGTCCCTTGTCGTATACTCAAGCTTACATACACTCAAGTTATCATGTAGCATTGGCCATGTGTTTGACGATGGCACCTTCACGCTACGGACTAACCCTTTTCTGGTACTGCAGCGGTAGGCATGCAAGGATGGCCATCCGACAACCATTAACGATGTATTTTGCTGGGTTCAGGCTACAGTCGAGGTGATGAATGTGCATCTGTCTGACAAGATGTATGAAAAGTCTGCTGGAGAAGATGCACTCGCTGCTGGCTTGTTCCCAAATCTGTATTATGAGGTTGCCATTGACTGTAACGGGAAGCAGCCAGTTGAATACCAGCTCCGCATGTGATCCCAGGCACGTATAGTCACTCAGCCCAGCCTCAAACAAGGCATTTATTTAGCAGACACATTGCTGTCTGACTGTACAATGGCTGCCCTTTGTATGTGTGGGGACTTTAAGGGAGTTGAAACTGTTGACATTCGGGGTCCGGAGTCCCCTGCCGCCACCATGGACAAGACCGAAACACATACGTACAATGGCTCAGACAGACGACCAGCCTTCCTTCTTCCCCTCAGTCACTTTGAGAAGTTTTTTCCATATATTCGATAACCACTTATTCCCCAGGTTGACATTCCCAACCCGCAGCCCTATCAGAGAGCAAGGACCCAACTGTGAAGTGCCATGGCCTCCTCCGCTGTACAGGCGAGTCATGTAAGCGGGCCATGGCACAATACAGGCGGGCCTATTCGTCTCGGCTCTTGAACCGCGATCTCGCAGCAGTTCTAAACTTCAGGCTCATTTTCCAGTCACTCTGTGATTCAGGCAGTATTCCTGGACGGTTCCGTCGCTCTACGGCCATTGCTGCCGATGCTTCTGGCACCACTCCGGCTACAAAGAGGCCGCGCAAGAGGCGTGCAGCAGCAGGCGATTCTGTTGCCAGCAGCAGCGAGCCAGCTGAAGCATCTGCGCTGAGCAGGCCATCAAGATGGGAGATGTCCAGGATCGCCACTGCACCAACAACCATCCAACATGTTCAAATGACCAGTTCGCCGTGATGCTCTTATCGACGTGTCAACCCATGCTGACTAGCAGCCGAGCTCGCATCGCGAGCAGAGCAATTCTAGTACCTAAAAGACACCAGTAACATTAACAAGCGATGTTTCGTTACTGATGGCGATGTCGAGAGGTTCCAGCAAAAGCAGGTGGTGCTGGACCCTCAAGACTTAAGGTACTGTGCATTGAGATTAGTAACTTTCCCTCATATTCGCGTGAAGCGCATCATATCTCACTGCTGCCAAGTATGTTCAAATCCGTCATGAGAACCAGGATTCTCTGGGATATGTGGGTGCAACTATGAAATTCTGGCACCATCTGACGAGGTCCAAAAAATGCGGGTGCTTCGGCAGCGATGAACAAGGCTGAATTAGAACTATGGAGGTTGCAATAATTGATGTTGATAACCAATGGATTGTGTAGCTATGGCGCTGTATTTTCAAATTGTAGCTGTGGTAGAATTCATGTCCGCATGTGTTTTATCTAAGTAACCGGTCGGCGCGCTATATATTGAAATCTATAGAAAAGTAATAATAGAAAGTGATGTGTGTAGTCCTTTGCACACTCACCAGGTGGTGGCCGATATGCCCCTCACATGGCAACTGATAACAGCACTCTAAGGAATTACACTTCCTGAGACCAAGCGCGCCTCATTGGTCGTCAGAAAAGTACAGTGTTCTACATGATACAGCTATCTGAGTGCTCGACAGATAGCATTATGAAGCACTCACTAGCTCCACCTCTTCTTGACCGGCTCATTGAGGATA